ATACTTTGAATATTACATGTTAATAACTTGATTGGAATTATAACCTTGAGTTGACAGTTTGATACTTTGAAAATTTTGAGCCAGCCCTACCCCCAAGGGCTGTAGGGTGGGGCTCAAGGGAGTAAGTGTGCTAAAATTTCATTTTCCTTGTTTAGAATCAGAGGTGCTAGTTTCAAATCCTTTTTAGCCTGAAATCTGTATGCTTGATATTGAATAAGGTGGTTTTATTGTTTTTTGTCACTTTGAATAATATTTTTGTTCATGTTAAAAATGAAATCAACTCTCTGTATAAATATATCAGGTGACCGTTAAGGCCCATGGGCCTCTTGTCAAAATTTTTGATAGACTTGTAAAGGTACTTGTATGGGAAGCAGTCATCCACTTGTCTGTCCACAATTTGGTTTCAGCAAGTTACTATCCTTAAATATTGTTCAGTTTTAATGAAACTTGGGTTTGTGTATAAACAATATACACAGACTGATGCAAAATTGAAACTTGAACATAATTCACACATATTGAAAAGCATTCAAGATTCAAGAAGCTTTATTTAACGTCGCATATACATGTAACATAATAACATTAGCACTGTAGTGCTATTCTTGCGACAAAACATATATAAAATTTAACAAGGATCACAGTACTTATGAATAAATATAAAAACAGGACAACAATTCAAATTAGATATGCTAAAATTAGACAGTAGAGCCTATGATATCACACTTGAATGTCACACAAGTGTTACGAAAGACAAGTTAAGACACTATACTAGTGTAATGTACATATATGCTAATGTAGCAAAGTGTAAAAATTTACAGGATATACACTAATATAGAGACAATGAAGTCATAAATAGAAACAGAGCTATAATTATGATATTGTAAAAAAGTAATAATCTTTTATATAATGGAGCTCAAATCAAAAATAAATATCAATTATATAATAAGTATATTACTGAAGTATATTAAATTAAATAACACAAGCAGCAGTGAAATTAAATAGTTGTAGTATAAAACATGTAGGTAGATTCTAAAGGGGGACAACTCACACTCTATGGTGTGTGCAGATAGCACATGAGCAGACATTTTTGTTCCAGGTGCGGAGAAGCCCACAAAACGACTTATAGCATGCGTACCCTGGTCAATGTCCACACTTTACAAGATAATTTGCTTGAATATATATTGATTAATATACAAACTTAGATCATGCATAATTAATTAGCATACTGTGCTCTGATTGGTCAATGTTTTTTGCCAAGTAACTTTATCAGATAAGGCCAGATTCTGATGAAACTTTGTTGATATATTATTCAACAACAAAGGTAAAGTTCAAAGATGAACACGTCTGTGCAAAATCTATTTAACGGTTTAAAAAATGCCAATTTCAGTTTTTAACGTTTGAAAAATGGACAAAGGGAAGCAACTCCTATGCAAACGAATTATCTAAAAGGTCTATAATAATATATTCTAGAGAACACTTGGTACCCCTCTACTGACAAACATATAAAGATATACTGTACACACAAGAAGAATAACTTCACAGTGGTACACTTTTACATAAAACTGATTCATAACAAAATTAACAGTTAATCCTTCTGTACAAGATGATGGGAACTTCGTTTTTATTTTGTTTCCCTTTCCAAAAATCATATATATATCTTGGTATAACTTTTGCCTTAGCTTTCAGTACTTTCAGTACTTTGATTGTTTATTATAGATATGGGTATGAGAAGATGCGATGTGTGGAAGCTCTTCAGTTACATGATGGTGACATTGGTGCAGCTTTTGAGTACCTTTTCTGTAAATGCTTTGGTATCAAGATGGACTTAGAGAAAGGAGCTGATGATGAGGAAAATGACAATGGCTCAGATGAGGATTTTCTAGATGAGGAAAACAAGGATAAAAAGCAAATCCTGACAGAGCTTGGTATGACATGGAAAGATATAGAAGATCAAAGAAATGATGAAATAATGGCATTAAAATCAATATATGAAGACAATTTTACTGAAAAAATTCCCAATAAAGTATGGGCTCTGTGTTTAGATCTCCCTTCTCTTAAAGAATTAGTGAAACCTCCTAAACAAGAAGATGAAGAGATAGTTCAGGAGAAAAAGGGTAAAAATCCAGAAATTTGTAGATTTTTCTTGAAAGGATTTTGTCGATTTGGAAAAAGATGTTATTATTCTCATGAAACGCCAAAAGCTGCTCCAAAGATATTTATACCAAACGAAGACCTTATAAAAAATAAACCAGATTTTGAGTTAGAATTTCGGTTCCCTAAAAACAACCTGTACCCTGTAGAGGCTCCTATTATTGGGTTTTCTTCTATTGTACCAACGTTTCCTCCCCACGTTAGCCTACTCATCACAGAACGACTTCGGAGCGAGGCCATTGACAGTGCAGAAATGCATGCGCCTGCTGTTTTTTCCTTAGTTAGTTTACTTGATGACGAACAGACTGTCGTACAGTTGTATAATAAACCTGCACTGGAGTACAGTAGACCTGATTATGACCAATCATGGCGAAAGAAACAAAAGGATAAGGAGGAGGAACAATCTGCCTCCCTGTTTCCTTTCAAACGGCAGACGTCCTCGGAGGAAGACTACAAATCTGAAACAGCAACAATGATCAGAATGACAGAGTGTGAAAACAAGATGTTAGATGAAGAAGAAGTTAAGGTGGAAAAAAAGAGATCCCATACAGGAGATAGCAATATCATGAGACAAACAAATGCAAGAGATACTCTGAAACAGAACAGAAGATTGAAGGATGAATACCAAAGGAAAAAGGTAAGAAGGTTTCATGTGCCTGGTATCTTAAAGACTTCAAATGGTTAAAAGTATTATGACAAAAAAGCTTATTCGTGGATGCATTTTCTAAAAACATTTCAAACCTTTACACATTGTGGTTAGAAATTATAAATTAGTAATATTTAAAATTAACACATTTTAACTTTCCATGATGAGAGCTAACTTGTTATGATAGCAGTTTAAAAAGGTAAAATGATCACTGGGTTGATATAGACTGTATCCATGGAATTATTTCACTGGGCGAAAATTTCCTGGGAGACAGTGTGTATATGTATACACAAAATATAAAATATATAGATACAGATAATCTGTGTTCTATCAACTTGTTTTTTTTTTTACATTTTGAGTCATTTCCTATCAAGCTCTGAAAAGCAGTTAGTCATTCTTTGTAAAAATAATGAATTTTCCAAATTCAATGAGCAAAATTGAAAAAGTGTCAAAATTTAGCATTCAACAGCTTGCTTAAATTAAAGATGATGTTCACAATGATTACAGACCTCTAAAGCTCTGCAAAACATGATAGCCCAAAGACAGAATCTACCAGCGTGGGACATGCAAGATGAAATACTGACTGCTCTGGAGAACAACCAGGTGTTGGTGGTCAGTGGAATGACTGGGTAAGATATTAACCATTCTGGATATCGGCTAAGTGTTAGATCAAGTTGGAAGATGTCATAACTAGGTCATGATATACTGACTGCTATAATAGAAACTAGCAGGGGGCATTAGTCCATTGCTTGAATCTCATGATTGAGTAATCTATCAACAATCGGACATTGCATTTCTGAATAAAATTAAGAAGATTTAATTGAGTTTGTCCCTATTACTCAATCGCCCTGCATACCGGGTGTGGATATCAGGAACCAACCTCAATTAAAATAACGGCGTTGGCTCTACCCTTGGATCTATCTGAATAAAATAGATACATGTTTTGTCCTAGCCAGTTATTAAGTTTGTAACATCAAAACTGTTATCTGGAATGATATGAAAGCCTTAATTAACTATAAGTCTTACTTGATTACTTGGAACAGTAATTTTGAAAGTCATAGATTAAGCAAACAAGTTTTTTTTGACACAGCCTGTCTCATTCTTGTTGAAACTAGACTAGCAAGATGTTGCTATATAATTCCATTACTTACTCTGTTTAACTTGAAAAGATATAATCAAATTCTACTTCATGCATGACCAACAAAACAAATGGAGATTGTGTCAAAACCATATTTATATCAAATGAAGCAACACAAATTTTCAAGATATGGCTCATATTTCTTTATGATCAATTTAATCACCTGATTTGGACCCAACTGAAAATCATAGCATTATCAAAATTATTCTAACGAACACTCTCTGTTACATATAGGTGTGGGAAGACGACCCAGGTCCCCCAGTTTATCCTAGACTTCTATCTGCAGTCCAAACACCTGAACATGTGCTCCATCCTGTGTACCCAGCCACGCCGTATCTCCGCCATTGCTGTGGCCGAACGTGTGGCTGAGGAACGTGCAGAGAAACTTGGCCGGACTGTGGGTTACCAGATCAGGCTGGAGAAAGTTCAGGTCAGTACAGTAAACAAGATGGCCACTGAAAGTTTGTTAACCCGATCAGTAAGATCTGTCATGGCCTTTGATAATCAACACTTTCACTCGGTTTTTGGGCACCTGATAATTTTGTTCTCCCAGAGCTGTTTTAGTACTAATAATGCCTCCGTATTTTCTAACCACCCTGCATATCAAAGTATTTCTCTTATGTGGTAAAACTGAGGTATACTGTCAACATTTGTCCAATAAAATTTTGAAGTAATATAGGGTTTGACAATAGATAGAGGGAGATATGAAGGAATGGCTATAAAAAAAAGAACAGTGGACATTGACATATGTTGGCAGTAAGTGAGATGATGAATGACTTTTTAGGAATCTATTATTCCAAAGATAACATCATATGGTGTAACTTACCATCTTGGTGGTGGTGCCATTTTGGTATAGCATGAAGTTATCTAAGGTTGATAATGAATAGGTTAGGCCTTGTGAAAAAAGATCAGAAGTTCTGAAAGATGCCCTGAGCGGGTATTGCATTCTATCCCCCTCAAAACCTTATTGTGTTTGTACCTAAAATGTACTTGCCTATATTGAGCGTAAAAGTTGCATGAAGTCTCTTTTAAAAAAACAATGCACTAAAAGTCAGGTCAGACAACTTTAAGTCAACTTAAAGAAATTGCATATTTGAAAATTAAAAACATGAAAATTGTTTTCAAAGTCATCAATGACACGGTTGTTGTTCTGTACGACGGGGATTGTGTTGAGGACGCTGGAGGGAGATTCCACATTGGATGGTATAACTCATGTCATCATAGATGAGGTCCACGAACGATCTGAAGAGAGGTAAGTCCTTCTACAATGCTTTTATCCTAGACATTTAACAACTGTGTACTTGTTCCATGACAATGAAAACCTTGGCACCTTTAAATTTGAAAGTTAAAACAGAGTGTGTACACTGTAAATAATGTGTTTTGTGTGCTGACAGTGATTTCCTGATGATGTACCTGAAGGACATGTTGCCTAAACGTAAGGACCTCAGGGTGATCCTGATGAGTGCCACTCTCAATGCCCAGTTATTTTCCGACTACTTCGGGGGCTGCTGTGTCATAGATATTCCAGGTAAGACTTCAGATTTGGGAACGTTTAATCTGCTGGATATAGCTGATCCAGTTATCTTCAGAGAGCTGAGAAATAAAAGAACATTTAAGGTGTTATATTTACATTTGCATATCATTGTCACTATATAGCCTCTTTGAAAGCTGTGTCGTTGATGGGACTTTAATTACCATGCATCATGAGACACAATTCTTAGCGTATTAATACAACACTGACTGGAACTACAATATCCAATATAAATAAACATGACGGCTGCTGAAATATCGCTGGGCATGGTGAGATTTGACAATGTCATTTTAGATTTATGTGCAAAATAAAAAATAAAATATAAAACACTTTTATTACAACGAAAACAAGACCAAGGTCTGCAATATCTAACAAAAGCACATCGGTTGAAATCACCAATGCCGGCAATGGAAACAATTTTAACGCTCATGCAATTTATCAGAAATATCGTCTGTTACACTGCACTGGTCAACTGTTACACTGCACTGGTCAACAGGGGTTCGTTGTTTTGTTTTTCACTATGTTGTTTGCCTGCAAAGCTGTGTCATTCAAATAGATCATAAATACCATACAAAAACAGTTCAATGCTTAAGTATACAATAGATGTGAGGCGATAAAGAGGATAAAGAATGATTCGAAAACATATTTCGTTATTCCTCAGGCGAATTACCTGGTCTGTATCTAAGATAGATATGGAGCATCTTTATGAGATAGACTGATGTTTGTTAAAGTGCAATGTACACAACAAATAAAGTTGAGATGCAGGCTCCAATTTCTCTAATGATCCTTAGATTAAGTCAAGGTTTTCCATTAAATTAGGCAATGCTTAACGTATGAAAAAGTTTATACTACCATAATCTAACATTTTAAAATGTTTCATGAAAGCGAAGCCAGTTCTTTTAAGAAAATTCTTTTTATTTTTGATCCTGTCTCTAGATGTAAAACCATTATGTCAAAGGTAATTTGGTATCATATAATGATATTTCCAGGAAGAACATTTCCCGTTGATCAGTATTTCCTGGAAGATGCTGTTGAGTTCACAAGGTCAGTGATGAAGATCTTTATGTTTATCCAGAAATCAAGAGAATTGCTATTAAAAAATGTATAGCTGGCAATAAAAAAATCCACAACCTGACTAAGTTTCAATTCAATCCAATCAAGTACAGTGAAATTTTGTTTGTCTAAAATGACTAAGCATACAATTTCCAAAACAAGGCTGTAACATTTTATAAGTGTAAAAATATTGGTGTCCAATTGTTTTCGAATCAACCAACAAACAAGTCCTGAATTCAGTACATTTGGTCAAGTGTAACAGTATTTTGTATGTAGGTTTGTTATGGACGAATCATCACCCTACGCCCGTCCACTGAAGCACAGTAATGCTGTACCAGGCAAGGGAGGATACATTGCTTACGAGGATGAGAGAACAGAGGCATCACAACCCCCAAAGGAGAAGGCCAAGGATGAAAATTTAACAGTGCAACAGCTCTCCATGAGATACTCTGGTAATGCTATCCTATGTGAAGGTTTGAGTATATGTACAATAATACAAGTGAAAACCACCCAGTAAGACCTGTATATTCCAACATCCTGTCTTATCTGACCATTATGTTGGGTCCCACAGGAAATTATATTAGACAGGTTAATCAGACCAATATGTTAGGTCCCACAGTGTGTCAGATTAGACAGATTTCACTGTAATCAGAGTTGATCCATGAGATGTGTAGTAAATTGTTTCTTTCAGAACAAAAAGCATATAAAAAAAACGAAAAAAATTGCCAATTTCAAACTCATGTATATATTTATGTTAAAATAATATGAAACAGAGATAAATAATTTCAATGGATAACTTAAAATGTTGTGAGGAATACATAAACAGAAGATTAATATTTTTTTTTTTTTTTATATTGTTTAGATCTGAAGTTCTTTTCCCTGCCTGAGGATGGTATTAAATTTGTTGCATCAATCTTGAAGACCTCATTATTACAAAATATTTTTGTAATACTATATTACATGTGTATGGATTGTTGAGTTTTACCTGTATTCAGTGGTTTATGCTTTTACAAGACACATCTAATATTTCCAGATTATCATAAATCAACATGCAGAAATATGGCTTTGATGGACATGAACAAAATCAACTATGACCTCATCGTGACCTTGTTAGAGTGGATCGTAGAGGATAAGGAAGGGGTAAGACAACAAACCAGAAGTATATATGGTTTATCAGGAGTGTTCTTGGCACTAAGCTCCTCATCCTTATCCAATCATTAACAATCCTTCTATTTTCAAGCTTTCTTTGAGGAACTGCTTTATATATTTAACTGTAATATGTTTGTTCTATGTTTGTTTTGATGATGTTAATTGATTTCATATTGAGCGCTTTGAATAAAAAATAACCAGTCAACAAGCTTAAGTACAATCTTGGTTATCAAAATAAGATGGTACATATATAGTCAAAGGGAAGTAACTTGATTTTTCACTTGAATACTTATTTACCATACAGTACAACAGTAAAGCTGCTGCCTTAATTCTGGTTAGCTAAAATCTATAAAAAATGAATACATTTAGTCTAAGACATACCGTTCTCCAGAAAAAAATATACTGTTATCATAGGGATGAACCTCTGAAACCTCCAATGGGGGAGATATCCCTTATTCCACATTTCCAATGAGGGAGAAAGTGCGTGAAATGTGACTGAAACTGCTTAGCTCAATTTATCTTTCCCTTTTTATGTATCAAAATAACTTCAAAAAGAATTCATTTGATTCAGACAAACCTGTTATGATCATTATTATATACACCCTGCAGTAACTAGGAGATCATTTGACCACAAGATGTAGACTTTTGAGTTTGTGTGAGTTTGGACTTGAATGAGGGAGTTGCGAGGGAGATTAGTATATTTTGGTCAATATGACTGAGTCTCGTAGATTATTGTATATTTGTTCCAGTTTCCCAAAGGAGCTGCCCTAGTCTTCCTGCCTGGCTTTGCAGAAATACAGACACTTTACGAACTACTCCAGTCAAACTCTACTTTTGGAAACAGAAACAAAAAGTGGTGAAGTATCAATATTTACCTCCTATAGACAAGTAACCAAACACTTAAAACTAGGACTTACATGAATTTGTATATTGTATGTTTAAATCTCATATTCTGTAACAGAAATTGATGCCTATACGCCACAAGATATGTTCTTATAGTAATGGGTACATAATGAGGCAGAACAACAGTTGACTTCAAAAACTTTCACATACTTGCCAACCTTTCAATTTTTAGCTCACCAAAGGACCAAGGTGAGCTTATGCCATACTGCAGCGTCCGTCGTCCATCAACCTTACACTACTTGTCATGAACCACTCAGCGGATTTTAACAAAGTTTGGTGTGGAGCATCCTTGGGTGAAGAATAACCAATTTTGTATAAATGGTGGGTCTGGCCCCCAGGGGCCTGAGGGGTGGGGCCAAATAGGGGAAATATAGCAAAGTATTCTTTAAAATCCTTCTTCTTCTGTAGAAATGAAAGGATTTGTTCCATATTTGGTCAGAAGCATCCTTCGGGGAAGGGGAACAAAGTTTGTATAAATGGTGGGTCTGGCCCCCCTGGGGGCTGAGGAGCGGGGCCCAATAGGGGAAATGTAGCAAATTCTTTAAAATTCTTCTCCTTTTGTAGGAATGGAAGGATTTGTTCCATATTTGGTCTGAACCATCCTTTGGTGAAAGGGAACCAATTTTGTATAAACCATTGATCTGGCCCCCCAGGTGCCTGAGGGGCAGGGCCCAATAGGGGAAATACAACAAATTATTGGGTAAAGGGAAACCAATTTTGTATAAACAGTGGGTGTTGCCCCCCCTGGGACCTGAGGGGTGGGTGTGGCCCCCCCCTGGGACCTGAGGGGTGGGGCCCAATAGGGGAAATAGACGTAAATCTTCAAAATCCTTCTTCTTCGGTAGGAATGATAGGATTTTGTCCATATTTGGTCTGGAGCATTCTTGTGTCAAGGGGAACCAATTTTATATAAACAGTGTGTCTGACCCCCCTGTAGGCAGAGAGGCGGGGCCCAATAGGGAAAATAGAGGTAAAACCTTTAAAATCTTTCTTCTACCATAGGGATTAAGGGATTTTATCCTAATTTAGTCTTGAGCATCCTTGGGCCAAGGTGACCCAATTTTGTATTAGCAGTAGGTGTGGTCTCCAAGGGGGGCAGAAGCTTAGGGCGGCCTCCCAATAGGAGAAATAGAGGTAAAACCTTTAAAATCTTTCTTCTACCATAGGGATTAAGGGATTTTATCCTAATTTAGTCTTGAGCATCCTTGGGCCGAGGTGACCCAATTTTGTATTAGCAGTAGGTGTGGTCACCAAGGGGGGCAGAAGGGCGGACTCCCAATAGGAGAAATAGAGGTAAAAACTTTAAAATCCTTCTCTGACCATCGGGATTAAGGGATTTTATCCTTATTTAGTGTGGAGCATCCTTGGGTGACGGTGACTCAATTTTGTATAATTGGTGGGTATGAACCCCCATAGGGGCATAGGGGTTGGGCTCTGTTTGAAGTTTGTTCTCTATATCTCAAGTACTGGATGGATCTTTCTGAAATTTCATATGTACTCACAGCACCTACCATGGAGTGCTATATCTTTACTTCATACCGTTTACTTTAATTATATTCAGGTGAGCGATACAGACCCTCTGGGCCTCTTGTTTCATTAACGTACCTACACTGACCCCATTTGATGGAATAACATAGAATAAAATGCTGTAGCTTTAGCTGTTTTATAAGTGTATGTTATTTCATTGTGATTTTGTAATGTTTCCGGTATTTGATTTGATAGTATTAATGTCAGTTGCTTATACATGTAGTTTTCATGGAAGCTTTCAAATTGAACCGTTTAAATTTTAAAGCTCTCAAATCGAGGAAGCTCTGATAAAAAAGGAGCCATATTTCCAAGAAAAAAAGAAAATTATAGCATGACATTGAGAAACATTCAAATACCAAAAGATTTTTAGCCCACCATCATTCTTGTTATCAGTATTTCTCAAGAAATACCTGAGGGATCTTTATCAGATTTTATATGTAGGTTCCCCTTGGTCCTTAGCTGTGCAGGGCAATTTTTGAGACTGATCGGATAAACAACATGGCCGACAGGCAGCCATCTTGGATTTTGATAGTGAAAGTTTGTTATCGTTATTTCTCAGGAAGTACCAGAGGGATCTTTCTCAAATTTTATATGTAGGTTTCCCTTGTTACCTTGTTGTTGCAGCAGTGCCTAAAATCGACGGTCGCCTGCTCACCAATGGCGGTTAAAGTCTTCCTCGAGCGACCAAAAGTTGTCAAAAGTGAGGTAGTCACTGGCCCAACAAAAATAGTTTGGGGGACTGTCACAAAATTAATGAATAAAAGAAATTATAGTCCCTTCCACATTAACTGGGGGGCAGTACATTTTTCAGTTGTCATTACTTCGATTTGAATCGGACTGCCGTGATTTAGAAAATGTAATGTGATAAAAAAAAAAACCAGATTTTTCTATATAAATACTGCCAGGGTGTCTTCTTTGAGGTGCGAGTTTTGTGTATTTCTTTTTGGGAAGACCTGAATGGAGTGGATCATGTCAGGTTTTAACTAGGGTTGAAGAATTAAAAATATAATGTTTTATTCTATTTTACATATTACAAACATTGTCGTGTTATATGTAATTTAAATGTGCTGAATCATTGTGCTAAATGTTGTTGAAATATTTCTTCCGTAAATTATTTGGGCCACCAACATATCATTTTGGTCAGTGCTTCAAATGTTTTTTTGGGGCAGCCAAAGCAGGTTCCCCACTATCCTTTATTGTTCATGTTTACTTTTGAAACTGATCAGTTAAACAAAATGGCCTACCGTCAGCCATCTATGATTTTTGACATTGAAGGTTTGTTGGTACTATTTCTCAGGGATCTTTCTCAAATTTGATATGTAGGTTCCCCTTGATCCCTTGTTGTGCAGGGAAACCTTTGAGACTGATCATAAAAACCAAATGACTAAAGGCAGAACTAAACAGATCTTTCTCATATTGCAATGATTGATTCTATTTCTGTCACATAAGTACTGTACTAGAAAATATGTGAAATGACAAACTCACTTTGAGGTCTGCTTTCATACACATCAGTATTAAGTTACAAGCAAAAGTTACCTCAAGGTGCATTTACTGTTAACATGACTCGATCAAACAGATTAGAGGAAAGAAGAGAAAAGATCGAATTGACAAATACCTAATGAAGATGGTACAAAGGTGGGCGCAAAGATCCCTCTGGGATCTCTTGTTCAGGTCACCTATGACAAAGTCTCAAGTGACCTATTGCGATCGCCTTTTGTCTGGCGTCTGTCGTCGCCCGTAAACAATTTATATTTTCAACTTCTTTCCAAAACCCCTGAACCAATTTCAATGAAATTTTGCAGAAACTTTCCATGGCCAAAGGTAAACAAAAAAAATGGCCGATTTGGTCCCCAGCCCCCAGGAGCCTGAGAGGCAGGGCCAAAAAGGGTCAAATTGACTAAAATTTCAAAAATCTTCTTCTCAAGACCCAGATATGGTAGAATCAAATACTCTTCATAGATGTAAGGGTCTTCAGATGCTTTACCAAAATTGTGAATTTCTTGACCCTGGGGTCTCACGTTTCCCCCTCGGGAGGGGTAAACTTTACTATAGTTTATATAGGGAAATCACATTTTGGATCAACATTTGTTTAATTTCCATTGGAAGTAATTCAATTTAGGTTAGCATTATCAGTATTAGGTAGCAGTTTGATGGTATGCAGCCCTGACTGACCCCCCGGGGGCTGATGGATGGGGCCAAAAAGGGTTGAATTGACTGAAATTTCAAAAATCTTCTTCTCAAAGACCCAGATATGGTAGAATCAAACACTCTTCATAGATGGAAGGGTCTTAAGGTTAATGACCCTAGGGTCTCACGTTTACCCGCTGGGGAAGGATGGGGCAAAATTTATTATGGTTTATAATGGCAAATGATACTTTGAATATTACATGTTTATAACTTGATTGGAATTATAACCTTGAGTTGACAGTTTGATACTTTGAAAA